ACCGTACATTCATATCTATTCATACAGAGCAGGTTCGACCAACGTTGGGTTCGACGGTGACATCCGGGCCAGAGCCATATAGGGGGAGAGTTTGGCCAGTCTATGATCTCGCCACCGTAACGTCTCCCTCCCGAGTGAGCCAATCAGCCTGCGGCGCAAAGCGAGAGGTGTGAGCGCATGCGCATGAACTCTCGGCTGCTTCCAGCTGAGCGGGGAGTGCCGCCATTTTCATTCATTCGCCCGGCAGTGTGCATGGGATCGACATCCAAATTTCGGTTGTTAACTTTTATTTGCCAGGCTTTGGCAAGAAAATAATATAATGTTATTCCTCGGTGGCTGAAAAAGCTAACGAATTAAGTTTCTCCACATGCGAACGCAAACTTTGAGTCAGGCGAAAAAGATATAAGCCCGCACCAGACGACGCGTAGCCTCGACAGTGCTCCGCGCCGACAGCGTTGCGTCAAAAACCTTCCACAGCCCAGTAAGGAAAATGGCAGCTTGCAGAGGACATAAAATGAACATATACGCGCGCACTTGCTGGAACGTCTTGTTTTGGTTTCGTTTCACTAATACCGACAGGTGGATGTCCCACTGTCGCCCTCATCTGTTGATCCCAAAAGTGGCTCAGTCTCGATTTCAACGAATAATCCTCGAAATCGCAACACTAGTCAATGCTGATAATATATATATATATATATATATATATTCACGGTGTCATTTTACTTTTTTTTTTTTTTTTATAAAGAATTACTCGAGAACTGTTCTTGTTTTTTCGTATTTTATTTGTGTTTATTACCATGTTATTTTTTGCTCTATAGTATTTCTTCGAAAAATGGTTTAATGGTAATGGCAAAGCATGCCAAAACACAAATTTCGTAAAATCTACTGATTTTTGTGCAAATCTCCAGACTTTTTGGAGATTAATCTGCTGACTTTTTTTTTCTTCGTCTGGCAACACTGCGCTGCGCGGTAGCGCTGCGTGTGGTTTGACTGGGCGCACGCGTCCCGCTTAGCGCGCGCGCCAAGCCGAGACGCGCGTCTAGACGCACTGAAAAACGCGCCATGTGGGCTAGCCTTAACAAAGAAAGTGACAACACGACTATATTTTTGTCCCCTATTAGTTTGTGTTTAAAAACAACAAAAGACCTCAGTTGAGAGAGGGCACCTTTCCTCATAGGTCTTTCTTCATATCTGTGTTTTTTTTGGGCGCTTTTTCCAGGAGAAATAGTAATGATTTATTTACAATTCCAAACACTATATTCTCATAGATTGTGCACGGAGTAACTTTTTGTAGTCTGATGTGCACAGCAGCACACGACAATATGAAACGGAACTGAAAAAAAAAAAAAAGTGAATGGTGTAAACTTTAAACGAAACGCTGAAACATCACATCGCATACTTTTGACCACCATGTAAGAGGAGGAGGGCGAAGCTGCTTTTGTAAGAATTTTGAGTGACAAGTTAATATTCTGGGAGGAGAATAGCGACGGTCTGTGCAAATCCGGGAAGCACAAAAGAGGATCCTGATAAGAGGGGAGCTCCCTCTTCCCCTCTTCTCTGGTGGTCATCGGAGCGCTCTTTGAACGACGTTACGTGCAACACATGTATAGACCGTTCCATTAGGGTCATAGCAGAGAGGGTAAAAAGTGAAAAAAAAAAAAATGCCCTCCCCCTCTCGCCCGTATATCGTCTGCTCCGCCGAGTGGGCAGTACCTAGCATCCGGCTGGCGTACAAACTCTGTTTAAAATCGCGTCGTTTGGGGAATTTCAAGCGCAGGTGCGCAGATTTTGGTATGTCAGTTATCGTGTATTACTATGCTAGATAAAAAAGACGAACAGAGTCCAATTGCGCTGTTATCTGCGTGCAAATAAAAAAAAGGGGGAAAACTGTGTCAGACTGGCCGGTCTCTCCGGCGAAAAGTGAATCCGGTGGCTGTACCTTTTTTTACTATACAAAGTTCGTACTGGTGTAGGCCTTTAGCGACCATGAGTGGATGTCTGAAATAATAAATAAAAGCGTGCTCTTCTGCCGCAATACACGCAGTAGTTGAGGGTAGTACTGCCGGCTGACTCAACTGCTATATAAGTAACCTTAAAAGATATGTCAGTTGATCATTTACCGAAGTAGAACAACAGAGAGCTCTAGGCTGATTTTGGAGTAGCCATAACTATTCTAAGAACGCGAACCACTTCACAACGGCAGCCACGAGCGAGAGTTCGATGTTCCGTACAGCCCGCCGATACAGCCCAAAGATGGAGAATGGCAACCCCTCGTTTTGTCGTCTGCTAGCGGAGTCGGGCGCGTGCCCTCTCTCTCCTTTTACCCCGCCGAACCCGCTGAATTTCCCGGATGTATGGAGAGGGCGCTGCTGTCGAACAAAATGGTGCCGCCCAGAGAGCGCTAAATTTAGCGCTCTCAGGGCGGCGCCATTTTGTTCGACCGCAGCGCCCTCTCCAGACATCGGGGAATTGTTCAGCAGGTTAGGCGGGGTAAAACGAGAGAGAGAGAGAGGGCATGCGGCCGACTCCGCTAGCAGACGACAAACCGCGGGAGGTTGCCGTCCTTCATCTTTGGGCTGCACCAGCGGGTTGTATCGAACATCGAACTCCCGCTCGTGGCTGCCGTTGTGAAGTGGTTCGCGTTCTTAGGATACACTGTTTTATTTCAGTAAATGATCAACTAGCGAATATTTGTTACGTTACTTCAACAACAGTGGAGTCAGCCGGCAGTACTACCCCCAACCATTGCGTCTATTGCCGTCAGGAGAGCACGTTTTTATTTATTATTCCAGACTTCCACTCACTGTCGCTAAAGGTATACACTAGTACAAACCTTGTATAGTAAAAAGGCTACTGCAACCGGATTTACTTTTTGCTGGAGAGACTGGCCAATCTGACAAAGTTTTCTCATTTTTGTTTGTTTTATTTGCAGGCAAGTAACAGCGCGATTGGACCCGGTGAGTCTTTTTTTTATCGAGCATAGCATCACACGATAACTTCCATATCAAAATTCGCGCATCTTCGCTTGAAATTTTTGAAATGACGCGGTTATAAACCGAATTTAAACGCCAGCCGGATGTTAGGTACTGCCCACTCGGTGGAGCAGACGACGCGCGGTTTGAGAGGGGAGGTTGCAATTCTCGTGTCGAAAGCCACGAGAATTGCAACTAGCTGTTATCGACAGACATCGTGTTTACTAAAAATACCCACGGATTTTAGGCCTTTCTTTTTTTTTTACCCTTGGTGCACCCGAGCAAAATGAAAACACAACGTTTGTCTGTATGATGAGTACAGTGTTTAACTTCTTCAGTTCGCGAGCTCAGCAACGAAGCCACGCTTTGAGAACTGAGTGAATGCTACATCCGCGCAGCGTCGGGAAGTACTTTAAGTACACCGTACTTAAAGTACTACACCAAGGAGGTTTAAAATACTTTCACTTTGGTTGAAGTACATTATCTGAGTATGTACTTGTACTTTGCTTAAAGCTTTTTTTTTTTTTTTTGTATTTTCCGAGGAAAGTTCAACTCCCGACTTGAAAGTACATTCCCCAAATTTGATCTTGGTAAAATTTTAGCACAAAATTATGTTTTGTCAACTCTGAAGCCCCTCGACTTTATCCAATATTAGCCGCCATTTTTGTAAATAACTGATGCACCCCCGATTACCCTTGGGGCAATGCATACCAGTTAAAAAAAACACTGTGCAAGGGAATGAAAAGGCATCGTGAAAGAATATTGTGTTAAAGAGTACTTGGGCTTTACTTGAAAGTACATTCTATTTATAGTACTTCACTTGAAGTACATTGCGCCCGGTGTACTTACTGCTTTACTTGAAGTACACCCTCTAATTTACTTTGTACTTTAGTTTCAAGTACTTTTTAGATGTGTTTTACCCAACACTACATCCGCGCCTCCGCCAGGGTCCAGCTATCCTGTTTGTCTTTCGGGACAAAATACCGGCAGGGCACCGCGAGCCTCTTGCGGTGTAATAGTGTCATAAAAGTCACCGCAGAGACCTTGCGATGAATATAAGAACCAAAATTTGCCAAGTCATACTTTCTGCAGGAGGGTCTCAGATGCTGTTTTTACATATCGCCATCGCGCTAGGCGCGCATAATACCTCGCCTGGCTACAAACACTACGCCGAGGCGGCGCTGATAACGTCTAGGAGGGCATCGCCACCTCACGGAGCGCGACAGAGTTAGCGTAACTAGGCTCTTACAGCTGGGGAGCGAGTTTGATAAAACAATCTCCTTGGATGCAACGGCCGGAGAAGACTTCGCGCGCACGTCGGGTCTCGAAGGCCATGGTTGAACATTAGGCCATTCAACACGAACAACGTTGAAGGTCCCGCGCGCCTGTGGAGCTCGCAACCAAGTATTTGGAGATGGACCTACCATGTCACGCAGCATAATTTCATCCCTGGTTGATACGACCGCGGGCATCGTTGTCCAATTCCAGCAGAGTGAAACGCGCACGCGTGAAAAAATCTAGGCTGTTTCTTTGCACGGAATTTGAGACTGAATTAGGAGCCACGCTTGCGGCGATTTTGGCACCTCCCGTTCTCCATGTTTTTCGACCGGTCGATGAGACCCGCAAACCGAAACAAACACGTGGGGCAGCCGCTTCGAGCCCAACCCTATCCGTTGCTTCGCTGTTAAGCCGCAGGTCCTTCGTTGGTTGAAAGTAATAACTGCTGTTTGTGTAGCCCTTCCTTAAAAAAAAGTATGAATAAACCTTCAAATATTTAGAAATAACAACGTTTTTTTTTTGTTTTTTTTTGTGCTTCAGGAACAAAGATGAATGCTATCGACTACCAAAAACCTTAAGTGTAACACTATTATATCAATGTTTAGTTTAGAAAATTCTTTTAGAGTAATGAGGAACACCAAAACTATAATAAATCAAACCATAAAAATTGGAAATTAAAAAAAACACATCATGGTAGAGCCACAGGTAGAGCAACTACTGCATCGTTGCTTCCGTTTCCGGTATAATCGCTCGCTGTGTTTGGCCGCGTTGTTTTGATGCTCACCTCGGTTTCACGCATTTCGTTCTTTTCTCGCGACATGACATTCGTTGTCTTGCATCCGATCCAGGTAATTTGCCTGTTCTGCGCACATTCGCCATGCTGAGACGCCTGTCACGTTTTAAAACCGCCGCGGCGTTCGTCACTGTCTGGCTAGTGTGCCATGCTTTGCACGCCGCTGCCATTGTGATGCACGCGGGCTCTTTTCATTTTTATATCGCACCATATTTGCTTCGTTTACTGCTGCTGGTGCGCTTCCACGTCTGTTGTCACCTTTTCAGAAGAGGCCCCAGTGTCTGCTGGACGCCGCGTACCGAGCCAGATGGGGTGCACTGTGTGTACAGTGTTTCCACAACAAAGCCCGGCACCACGAGGGCGTCGCCGGTGTGGACTTGATGGCCCTTGAATCCGGCGGGACCAAAGCTCGTACCTCCCAGTCACAGAGGTACACACTTGCGCTAATTCGTGGAATATTTGTTGTTTTTGAGACCCTGTGGCACTTGCCCATAGAGAGAATAGACTCTTCAAAACTCGGTGCCGTCTAGTGCCAGTCTCGAGAGCTCCGATATTTCCGCTCTAACGACGGCAATTGGAGGACAACATCGCTTAATTTCACGTACCCTCGACTTCGTGAATCGGAGGCGTCGTACTAGGACAGACTTGGTAGAGAAGATTTCCCGGTCTCTACTGTATGCTTCAAAAGACGTCCGCTTCTCCTGCTGTGGAGGAGTTTTGTGATGTCGCCCTTACTGTAATAAAGTAGAAAGTTGGGCTTGTTGGTCTTGGTTATACATAATGACAAATACACAGCGCAAAAGGACAAAAAGGGAAGAGACATACCGGATAGAACAGAGTTCTGACTTGCAACTAGATATTTTAATAGAAAAGAAAGAATAATATTTTGGTCACCATAAATCGCACGTGTAACCTGTGCCATGATATGTGGTCGCTATGGCACGCGCTGGGCCTTCATAGTCAGTTTCATGAACTCCAACTCTTTGTTGGACGAGACAGACGGTGTGCTGATGCAACTTGCTCCTCCACTGTGGATGTAAAAAGCTTCCAGAACCTCTCGGGTTGTTTTGTCCCGGTGTTTTCCCATAACTGTGGTGGCATCAAAAGACAGTTCACATAGACATTCTTTACAGTGAAGTGAAAAATTCCCACCCACCGTGACTCTGAGGGAGTAGTCGTGCTCACGGAGCCTGTCGTTTCGGCAGCGTCCTGTTTGTCCAATGTAGGATGCTGCCTCAACGACAGTTTCTGTGAGCACGACTACTCCCTCAGAGCCACGGTGGGTGGGAATTTTTCACTTCACTGTAAAGAGTGTCTATGTGAACCGTCTTTTGATGCCACCACAGTTATGGGAAAACACCGGGACAAAACAACCTGAGAGGTTCTGGAAGCTTTTTACATCCACAGTAGAGGAGCAAGTTGCATCAGCACACCATCTGTCTCGTTGTCCAACAAAGAGTTGGAGTTCATGAAACTGACTATGAAGGCCCAGCGCATGCCATAGCGACCACATATCATGGCACAGGTTACACGTGCGATTTATGGTGATCAAAATATTAATCTTTCTCTTCTATTAAAATATCTATAGTCGGTTGCAACCTAAGAATGAAGGGCGAGGGTAAGACGGGCCGGGGAGGAGGAAGCAGACGGAACGCTGGAGAAGAGAGGGGGAAACCTTCTCTCTTTAGCGTTCCGTCTGCTTCCTCCTCTCCGGCCCGTCTTACCCTCGCCCTTCGTTCTTAGGTTGCAACCGACTATAGTTGGGAGTCAGAACTCTGTTCTATCCGGTGTCTCTTCCCTTTTTGTCCTTTTGCACTGTGTATTTGTCATTAGTCGCCCTTACTGCTTTGGCACAGGACAGAGGGTAAATTTACAAAGGATATTATTGTTTAGGTCATCTGCTATCATTTGTTTATTCTGAAGATTGTAAGCTTTTGTTAATCATTGAGATCGGAAAGGCTTAAGATGTTCCTCATTGTTACAGAGAGTGCAACGTCAGAGGGTTGAGTATTTTTGTATGAAATTGAGGGCAAAAAATAAGCCATATTGGGCGGAAAGGCGAAGGTTCGGGAGCTGAAACTAGGTCGCCGTGGCCGAATGGAGCCGACATCATCTAGTTTCGTTGCTTGATGCAATCATCATGATTGTTTGTGCCACAACTGACTGTGCAAGTTTGTGCCAGAAAACTCTCAAACAGAAAAATCTGATAAGATTAATGCTATACGCGTGACGTGCAGCTCGACTGGAAATGGCTGTACACACAACACGAAACTTCTTGGTTCTCGTATAAAATAAATTGTCAAAACGGATTGGTGAAACTGCACCAAAGCCTTGTAGTAAGGTGGCCACTTCGCATGCAGCGGATCCAGGATCAAATCCGGAAAGCGGCGGGCATACTTATTTTTTGTCAAACATTTAGTGATATTATCAACGTTTCGTTTTTACAAGTATCACAGTACAGAACAAATGTCAATGAAACGCCGCTGAACTAAATGGTATGGGACTCCCTTTCCCGAGGTGCAATGGGGCACAGTGGGACTTCGGTTGCTGGCGGGATGCCACGAAGCGGCATGTACAAGTGGGTTAATATTTTTTTAATGAGCCATCCGCAGACTGTCGCCGGGAAGTGGCGTAAAGGGAGGGTTTGGGTGGGTTAACACGCACCCCAGTGATGCACGTGCCATCCCCAACTGCGCCTCCAAAAAAGACGACCCAAATGGCATGAGCTCTCCTCCTCGTGCGTATAGCCATTTCCAGTCAAGCTTTATGATGTTGTGTGTATAGCATCACTCTTCTTGAAGTGGTGAATGGCCAGCAGTGGAGTCACATCATCTGCGAAATATTGATATGCCGTTTTTCATTAATTGCTTCAAGTCTGCATAATTTTATCACATGCTTCATGCCAAGACACGGAAAAGCCAATCTGAAAGGTGGCCATCGCGTAGGTACGGAATGAGGGCAGGAAAGGCTCATTCTGTCATTCCACGTACCCTTGTCTCACTTTTTGCGTGAAGTCTACCTGGTGTACGAAAATTCAGTTTTTTGTGCCTGGTGACTCAACATTTGTATCTGACAAGAGGTAATGCTTCAGTGTAAAGCTATATCAACAAATTCCTCGGTTCTGTGATCGGTCACCGATGTCCAGATGTTTGTATACGAAAGGCAGAAAGTTTCAAAACTCCAATCAGCAACTCTTTTTTTTAACATAGTTGTTGTTTTTAGATAGGTGTGTCGGTGCATGTTGCAGGGAACATAAAATGGTGCAAAAAGGACACGACGACAAGCATAAGGAATGCAACACTGTGTCTGTGTATTCTGCCGACGCGTCCGTGTTTCCGTGGCACCATGGTACGACGTACCGAGGGCTTTCGATGGTTGACTGGAGATCCTCCTAACCTGATACTCTGTACTCGTGCTTCTCCCTCAGACACCAGGCGGTCTACAAGAAGTCCACGAGGCCTCCCAGGGTGACCGGAGAAGTGGTGTTTGGTCTGCACCCAGTGCTGCTGGCGCTGAAGACGGGCAGGCGGGAGCTGTTCTCCCTGCACGTCCGGGGCAGCAAGCTGAAGGACACGGGAAGGTCCGGGGCGTCGTCGCTCTGGACAGAGATACTGGGTCTCGCCGAGCAGCGAGGACTGGCGCCCAGGCGCTCCTCCCTCGCCAATCTAGACCACCTCACTGAGAACAGAACCCATCAGGTGAGTTGGAGGACTCGCTGCGTCGGGCAGTGGGTGCTTTTGGTTTTGTTTAGAGTGGAGCCGTCAAATGAGTCACGCTCGGGCCAGGCGTGGCCAGTTGATCGTACGCAAAGGGCCACAGGAAAAGGACTTTAAAAAGAAAAGTCGTGGCTGTTCTTTTTTTTTTCGTGTCTTTGGTTTCAGTTAGTGGTTGCGGCAAATTCTGCTTATAAAGCAATTCCTCGTTACGCCTCCTTATTGTGCATTCCCATTCGTGAAACAAACGCCCTGGCTGATGTATGTATGGTACGTGGCACAATAATGTCAGAACGCAGGCTGCCTTTTAATCTGTAACCCTTTCCTTCTGCCCTTGCGAGGGGCATATGTTTACTAGAGAGCTGCATTTGGACCCGTGAAGAGCTGCACGCTAGCTTGCGAGCCACAGTTTAGCCATTCCTGGCAGCCGAGACCATGGGTTTCAAAACTGTGTTCCTAGATATTCCGGTGTTCCCCAAAGTACTGTCAAGTGTCCCCTGAGCTTATAAATGTTTCCTCGGCTGTCCCTGCTTGCAAGTGAAGTGTTCCTCCAGTTTAAGCACTATTTCGGAACATTGGAGGCATCAGTTGAATCATAGCTATGAGCCAAGCACTCCCAAGTGTAACCACTGTCGTTTACAAGGTCCGTAGGCTTCTTCGCCGCCTCATTGCATTCATGCCGAGATGAGGAGGAATTTCTCGTCTATGTAGATGTTGCCACCGACCATATTTTATCTAATGTCACCAGTCAGTGGCGCCACCTATGCACTCAATATAAAAGTGCTTGAGAACACCTTCAATATCTCTTGGGGCTCGAGCGTGCACATGCATACAAAGCACATTGAAAGGCCACGGGCGCGTGCCGGAGGCCAGGCGTCTGAATGAGATGCCGTTCTCGTCTTGTCGGTGACCGTAGGTTAGGATACTTTTTTCCGACTCGACGCTACGATGCACCACAAGTAATTGTGACTGGGACATCGCACGTAGCCCCGATGGAGGGCAAATGTCGCGTGTGGACAAAAGAACTGAACCCTGCTCGTCGTTCCGTGTCATGCAGGGGATTTGCTTGGATGCCTCCCAGCTGCCGGTGCCCGACGGCCACGGGCTTCTGGCTGCATCCGAATCCAGGTTAGATGCCCGTTGGTTTTGCGACCCGTCTTCCGAAGAGTGCGGCAGTGGTATTTCTGAAAGAGGCAGTTTTGTTTAATCTTTTTTCAATGTAAGCTGCCGCCTGTGGTTTTCTTCTATTTTGCCTTGTCAGCTCATTTACGATGGCTGGTCGCATGGGTTCGCAAACCGGGTTCCTATGAACCCAGGAGTTCCCTCATGGGTTCCTCGAAGTTCCAACTTTCCTGAACCGTCCCCATCCCTAAGTAAAGTGTTTTTTCCATTTTAAGCTCTACTTCGACAGAGCTGAGCCACCCAATAATGCACATATATGAGTTAGGCATGCATTGTTGTTCACAAAGTCTCTAGACTTGTGAACTCCTTTATTGCACTAGTGCCGAGACGGGTTCCACGACCGACATTCGAGGCAGACGAGGTTTCCCTAAGGTTGAGCACCCCTTGCTCATTGAAAAAGCAACCGCACAAATTTAAATGAGTCTACGACAAAGGGGCGGGGCACTTCTTTGTTTGCACGGTACAGAGTAAGACGGCGGCTGAGGAGAAGGAAGTTTGGACAAAGCAAAGATAGCTAGCTGTGTGGCTTGTTTGTCTGAACAAAACTCCAGCAAGCTGCTAAAAAGTGTTATAGGGTCGTTTAGGTGTTTTGTTTTGTGTTGTTACTCTTGCGTTAGGAATACTGTCAACATGGGTGTGCTAACATAGTGTTGCGTGGCTTCTTTCAGCGGGGTCCTGAACGATGGTCTCTGGGTCCTTATGGATAGGATTCAGGTGAGTCGGCTTCCACTGTATTTCGAGACCACACCACTAACGGCCCCCGACACTGTTAGTGCAAACAAGCAGTCTCTATTTTTCGTTTGATTTATAATCTCAAGGCTGTCATCTAAACTACTAGTGGGCTGGAAAGTGCACATTTTGGGTACTAACCCAAGCACTAAAACTCGCTGCCCACGATTCCAATTTTGAAGAAATCTTTCAAAAAGTACTGACGTCATGTTTGCACTAAATGTCGGTTCTCACGTCCATCCCAGCGCTGACACGGCACCGAGTTTGTGCTGCATCGTGTGTGTGAACAGGACAAGGCTGGGTCGTTAGTGCAAAGTCTGTGCCATGTCTATAGTGCCGAGTTTGCGTATGTGTGAACGGGCCTTAAAACTGTAGTGTACCTCTTTACATCTTGATGTGGCTGCAGGACCCTATGAACTTTGGCGCCGTGTTGAGGTCCTCGTACTACTTCGGGGTGCAGAAGGTCTTCACGACAAGGACGGATAGGTGGGTTCACTTCCTTGCCACCCTTTTGCTTGAAAGGTGCAAGGAGGCTTCGTGACATTTGTGTTCGTTATTTAGGCCGGGTGCCATTTTAAACATTTGCATTTGTTGATCGATACCTTCATGCGACCATCAGATAAACCGTGTGGTGTTCGAGGAATGCCTTTTTTTTTTTAGATTTTACTTCCGCAATGTGTTGTATGTTCCAAAATGAATTGGTGGGCTAGTTGGTTAAACATTATGAATGCAAAGGGTGCTAAGGATGAAAACTAGAAGAAGTGGACAGTGCTTATCGTGTCCACCTCTATTAGTCCTCATTCTTAGCGCTGTTGGTGTTCATGAGGATGCTATTCTGTTTTGTAGCAGTAGTGAGACTGCTGTTTTCTAGAGCTGTGTCTGTGTATTTCTTCCACTTGTCTCCATGTCTCGTTTTGCGCTGTTTTATTTTCCTCGCAACACGTGACTCGCTCGTCTACATACGTTGCAGTATTCGGCTGCGTCTCTGCGGTAAATAAAGGAATCCACTTTAGCTCGATTGTGGCAGTCATTGTTGTGTCTTGTCAGCATTTGCAGACCATTTTGTTTTACTGTCAACAATGAGTCTACCGTACTGTAAGGCTTCAGCAAACAGACCCTTTATGCGCAGTATTAAAATGCGCCAAATTCTGCAAAAGCAAATTGTATACCAGTCTCTACGCAACAGTGAATGAGGTTTGTAACGAGTGAAATGAACGATGGACTGTTTTTTCCCTTGCATACCTAAAACAATGTTTTGCTCTCCGCACGTCCATGCAATGTTTTCCGCCTTAATGGCATATTGTAAGTTAAGAATAGTGGTGGAAGCTCCTCCACAAAGCCCTCCCCCATTTCCATTTTAGCGGAGAAAATGCCGTAGTTGACGAAACCAGCAGTCGTGGTGAGCGGAAAGTTTTTACGGGATGGGCATGTCCCGCTAGCTTGAACCTACAATGGTCAATAATGGGCAGTTTGCCCGCCTTGCTAGCATTGCGTGAGTGCGTGGAATGCATTTTAATGGTTTGTCCCTGGTGCAGCTGTCGCCTGTCCCCTGTTGTGAGTAAGGCAAGCTCAGGGGCTCTTGAGGTCATGGACCTGTACTCGTTGCAGAGTCCAGCAGAGTTTCTGCAGGTCAGTACCTGTGACACTTTATGGTTCCTAGTTCCAGCTCTCTGGACATCTCCTTGAAGTTCAGGTTATTCGACATGTTGATTTTGTTGCCAACTTTTACGAAATATGGAGCTTGCCAAAGATTTCTAAGCCTGTAGCCTATGTTCTCCTAAAAAACTTTTTTCCTTTCTTTTGTGTGGGAGCAATGTTAACAACTAGATACAAATAAACTGAGAAATCTTCGATCTCCTATGTTTTCCTGTTGAGATATCGCTCGCAGTATTTATTTTAGTAATTGCTTTTCATTGTTTGGAAAGAAATCAGCTTTTCCATACCTCGCGGGTCCCAGGTCCTTTTACAGTTTCACTCTGTCATGTCGTTGGTATTCTAGTCTGCTGAACAATTTTAAAAAGCAAAGAAACAAATCTTCGAGTTTTTACCTACACCCACTAGGAAGGCTGTGCGGAAACATGAAACCGCAGGTCGGTAGGTCGTTTGGGTAAACGGCGGCAATCATGTTTCTTGTCAGACTCTCCTTTTTTTTTGGTACAAACTTCCAGGCGCTCAAATCGAAGGGCTGGTGGGTTGTGGGCACGGCCGGAGTGAAGCAGGACGGGCCATTTGAAGCAGGGCCGAGGAGTGATTTGTCCTGGGTGCTTCCTCCAACGGACAAGCCCGCCATCCTCATTGTTGGTGAGTGCTGCGCGTGCCAATTCCTGTGGTTCGGAACAACTTTGCAGTGTTTGCCGGTTCGAGGCCAGATTTCGTTTTGGCGTAGATTCACTCAACCAACGATGTGTAGCTAGGTGGCCCTTTGAGAGTTCCGATATCTTGCTTCAGCTTCCGGCTGCCATGTTTGCCTTCATCTGTGCCTCGCTAATGCTGCTCTACACCTTCGTGGTTTCACCGTGCCGACTGTACAAACAAGGGAATGCACCTTATACAGTCAAACCTTGATGTTACGAACTTCTATGTAACGAAACCCCCGATGTAACAAAGTATTAACTTTTTCTAACCGCAAGTGTATGCATGCCATGTATTTTTGACCTCTATGTAAAGAAATTCGTTTGCCGAAATTTCAATGGAACCAAGTTTCATGGACAACTCGGCACAAACTTTAGGGTCCCAAAGGAGATTTTGGGAAGTACATGCTCTGAAACGGGCCCCCGATAAAGCGCAAAGAGTGAAACGGGCCGAATCTGGCAAATGTGGTGTACAGAATGGCCACTTGAGGACACTAGAGCCGTCGCCGTTTCGTCTGTTGGCTTCGTTTGCACTGCATGGTTCGTTTCGACGCCTAACTAAAAGCGCGCGTTTCTCGTCTTGGGCGATGAAGCCTTCAAGGCAATAAAGCCGCCCTTGACAACTTGACCTTGACGACTTTCTATACGCCGACTCTGCTGTCATTGCGACGAAGCAGGTGACCGACGAGGCGATAGCTTGCGATGTTCATGGGAACTCGCAAGACGGGGATGACAGTGAGTCTGGTGAGCAAGACACCTGCAGTGTGCCCAGTAACCGTGAAGTGGACGCGATCAATGTCTTGAGGGGGTTCGCAAGCACACAGCAAGACGAAGACGCAATGCAGGCTGTCTGGCTATGCAAACGTCGTGTGATGCCAATAATAATGCCAAGAGTGGCCCAGAAAAAGGTGACTGACTACTTTCAACCGAAATAGAGGCGGCCTCGGTGAGTTCTGTGCACTCTGGCAACATTCGTGAAAACTTTCTTTAACATTGGCGCTAAATTTCTATGTTGTGAAATTTCATTGTAACAAAGTAAATTCAGAATTTTACTGGCTTCGTTACATTGATGTTTGAGCGTATAACAACGCTTGTCACACGACCGTTGAAAAGGAGAACTTGAGTTATAGATCAGAAGACGTGCTACTGTATACTGCATGGACCAGATGGATTGAGAACCCACGTCAAAATCAACTCTCAAAAATCAGTTGGTTTTGTATGCTGTGCTCATATTCCCGAACTAAAAGCCTCTTGCGCTTGTCGTGCTACTCAACTATCGTCGGTGGAAGCTCTCACGCAGCCTGTGATGCGCTTCGAAGGTATTAATGGTGCTGATTGGCCGGCTCTTAAGACACAGAATTTGCTCCGATTTGTTTCTGTTTATTGCAACATGTGGCGCTAATCGTTGCTCCTTTGCCATGTTGACAACGGGGCGCAGACATTTCGAGTGCTCCATGATGACGCATTAAAGTATTTTACACTGATTAGTCACTCTACCGGTAGAATCGGTATGTCGCTCTAATATCAAAGTAAGGCTAGCCTTGTTTTTTTTGTTCTTTTCATGCGCCATCATTGGGAGATTTAAATGCGCGTGCGCATTGTCAGGTTTGCTATAAGCGCCGAATGTGGGGGAAGACTGAAGGAAATAAATGCGTATATCATTTACGGAAAAGGCCGGCCACCTGGCACCGTCGAGTGGCATGACAAGCGCGAGAGGCTTTCGCTTCGTCATTCGCATCTCTTTTGTTCGGGTCTGTACCAGAATGGTGGAGCTGAAAGGTGTATTTATTTTGAGAAAAGCATTGTTTTAGGAAGTTTCCGTATTCGAAAAATGCAAATACAGTTGAATCCCGTTAATTCAAACTTGCGGATAATTCAAGCTAACGTGGAGGTACCACTGTATGCATTTCTATGGTAATTTATACTTTCTTTATTCAAACAAATTTGCGGTCCCCTTCGAGTTTTAAATAACGAGATTCGACTGTAAGAGCCAAGGTTTTGTTAGAGACTGAGATTAAATTCAGGCTTGTCCGCTGTAATGAAAAATACTCTTGTGGTGGGCCGTCGGAACAAAACACGCAAGAAAAGCAATGAAACCTGGCAAGTTTTTCTGTCTTTTGTCCCATTTTCTTTTTTGTCCAACCAAACGCCTCAACAGCACACATTTTTTTTCTCCTTGATGTAAAAAGAATTTTGCCCTTATTGGTGTTCTATAGAATGAGTTGTTTTCATTTTTAACTTCTTATTTGAAAAATTTTTAAAAATATGCGCAATCTACTCACACCTTTGCGGTCAATTGCAGCATCGTAACTTGCAAAGCTGAGTTTTGCGACTTATTTAAAGTTGCTTCAGTTCATTTGGGCCATGGACTGTATTGCATAAGGGCAAACTAAAAGTGGAATGCTTGTCTTTTTTTTTAAATTTTTAATGCATTTAGCCATTAAGTTTTAGCATAGAGAGTGCCAGAATTTTCAACTTGGTATGACATGCAATGAGACGGCCCCAAGTTCCAACTCTTGATTTCATTGCTGAGGGCGATGCACGCTTTTTTGTCCAGGCAACGAGAACCAAGGCATGCATCCCGAGCTGGGAGCTGTTTGCGACAGCGTGTTGTCCATCTCTCCGGCCGCTTCAAGCGATCTGATTGGCTCACTCAACGTCTCCGTAGCTACAGGTGGGTCCCTCATCTTCCACGTGCTTGTGCCTGGCTTTGCTAGCCTTTTCGGTTGTGTCTATGACTCCTCTTACACCTAACTTGGGTCTCGCTTGACTCTCCTTTTTTTCCCTTTTTTTCTTTCATTGGTGTCGTGCAGTTCGCTCATACACCAGTAAGGGATGGCGGTATGAAAGGATTTGATCGAGGTGCAACTGCAGCGAAGATGTCCAGCGCATTCAAGGATGCGAACCAACTAAACTTGATTACCGTAATATTCCCGAAAGAGAGCCCACCTAAAATCGAGAGCAAATCGGGTGGAAACAAGGAGTGGGCTAAGTTTAAAAATGCAATCGAGAAAAGCTGAAAAAGAGAAAATGCTATTTTTAGATTGTGCCTTTGCCAAACTTCTTATTTCGGCGAGGAGCAGTGCAGCCGAGGTAACTGTGCTTCCCAGTCAGCAACGTTCTCTTATATCCTGCCATAGCTAACTTTCTGCATTTATGCCGAGGTCATCATTGATCTGAACACCATGATTACTAGGAGTGGGCTATCTTTCGGTGTTTAAAAGAATGTAGCAGATCAAACCAAAATTAGGGGGGGGGGGGGGGGTTATCTTTCGGGGGGGGGGGGGGGGGGGGGGGCATGTTTCAGGATATTGCTCTAACCTCTTCCGATAGACACAGTCACACAGACCTCTTTTCCTTCAGGACAACTAACTGTCCTTATCTCGAAATTCGAAATGACTTTCTTGGTGATTGCTATGATTGTGCACACGCGTGTTATACCGAGGTCTAGACGACGGCACGTTGGTCTGCCTTGAGGTGGCGTTCGACGTCCTTGCAATGGCCAGTGCACCACTGCTCTTAACCAGGTGTTTTCAATGTGCATATGTTAGACATTAGGTTAGTGTGAGTGCACCGTGGCCTTGTACTGGGCTGCACTGAACTAACATACTCTGCTGCCGACCTCACCTTGCGAGCTTGACGTTGCTCGTGTGAGTAAGTCATTTGTCTGTTTTGTGTTTGGCAGTTTTTATTTAGACTCAGTTAAACAAAAGTTTAACTTGGAAGCTCTTAGAAGCATGTATTTTGGATATGGTTTCATTGCTTTTTGCACCTATTCTGTAGGTGATATCAGGTGAGAGAGTACAAACAGAGAGCACGTTTCATATTTCCCTGCCCATGCTGCAGACTTTGAAGATTTTGAGTCACCGCTCCTGCGGATTTTGATACATGTGGGACGTGGTACCAGTGAGCCTTTGTGCTAAAAAATATTCATGTCAAAGGCAAGCTGAAACACTTCTTTCAAAAATTGAGCTAGAGGTTGATTCTAGCATAGTTTTATTGCATGAGTCAGAATATCACGTTTGTTTTCTTCGAAGAAGTAACTAAACGTGAGTAAACACGAAAAACCTCCAACCAGCTGTTACGTCATAAGAGTTCCCTCGGCCGACAAGCGCGTTTTGCTTGAGGGGCCGCGCGTGCAGTCGCAAGCTTGCCAGGTATATTCCCCCACACTGGCACCAGTCGCAGCATCTTTTCTTGTCCATTTTAAAAATGGCAAGAGTGCGCGTGCCTAGCTTTGATAGGCGCTGAAGATGCGCGAGAATAGAGATTCTGAAAACTCCTTTTGCGACGTCACGCTTTGGGAAGGAGGGCCTTCAGCCGTGCTTTGAAACTGATTTTCTGCTGCCTCCTTGCACCAAATTAAAATATAATTTCAATATTAGAGATCCTGGAGGTCAAATGAAGACGATTTAAGTGTGTTTCCTTGGATACAATACTGCTTGAGCTTCTCTTTAAAGGCCAACATACACTTCTAGCTTTCCCCTTTTTCTATATTCTCTCCACTTTTTACCTTGCCCCACCTTGGCTCTTTTTGCAGCTTAGGAGAGGGGAGCGCTAAGAGGATAATCTTCCCTGCAGAAAATCGAGGCTGTACGTCGGCCATTAACAGCCGCACTCACTAACAAAATTACCTCTCTGCAGTGGAGGCAGCGTACACCTGTGTTGTGTAGACTGTCTAAACGTCTGCACCAAACTTGGCATTAACGAGTGTGGCCCTCGTTGCTGTTCCACCAAAAGACTCGGTGATTTGACCAAAACTTTTCGTTTTGTTTGTTCTTCAGGCATTGTGCTTCACGAACTTGCAAGGGGCAGGACAAAGTGACAGGTCGTCAGATTGCCTAATCAGTGTGAGTCTTTGCTTTCTGCCTTCCACTTGTTGCGCACACCGATCGCCGACTTGCATAACATGGCTCATTCTGTGGAGAGTTGTGGTTGTGGCCATGAAATACAGGCTGTACAGAAGGAAGCAAAGAGAATCATGACCAAACTTCTTGGGGGTTAGGATGTTGTTTCTTGTCGGCTATTGTTCTTGAGGAGCCGCAGGGAGTAGCGCACATTAGAATGAAATTGCTTATTTCGAATTATTGCTTTTATCGAAGTTCAACGTGGTCCCGACCGAAATGCACACATTTTAAACCGGATTGTTCTAAGTATATAGGCGGCCGACCATGCTTATTATGAAGGCAGAGGTGGCGAAAGCACGCAAGCCTGCACTAGGACGCATGGAGACCCTTGCGTCCCCTGCCCCTTCTCCACCGAGGGGAATCAGCAAACAAGAAAATAGAGTAAATGGGTGACGGAGGGCAGAGCGCCGCTTCCATCTCCGATGCCGATGCGCCGACGCACGGGCGCTGGCAGGGAGCAGCATCCACGTTCCGACACTGCTCACGGCGCCCGCAGCCGACACTGCCCAACTCCTGTCGGAATCGGGTCAAGGGAGCGATGGAGCCCGGGGGACATCATCCCTTTGGGAGCCCCGTGGTGTAGTGCATGCACACGTGCGTTGTACGGGAGACTGGGAGTGTTTACCGAATGTCGCTTAGATCTGTGAGGTTGAGAAAAGTGGCTGGCCCAAGTCCGAAATCGCTAAATAATTCAACATTCTGGCATTGGCTCTTTGACACTGTCCACCATTCTGCAGAACAAGCAAGGTATTGGTTGGGTTCGAGAAGCATGCTTGCGACCTGAAGATCAAAGATAGTCAACTGCTTTGCGACCATTGGATTTTCTCTCTCAAGCATGCTTGCCGAGCCGGCGCACGCTTCCCATAGCTGCAACAATCCCTAGAGGGGTGTGTGAAAGCTTGTTGGCAAAGCCACCGAGGATAACTTTGATTCATTCGCGCTTGTCGATGCGGGCATTCCCGTTGTTGCTCCTGCCACGGATGCTGCGGCTGTAGATTTTGCGTGCAGCTAGGGCTGACACGAAGCGACATTGGAGAGGCACCTCGGGAAATGCCGACAGCTGCGGGGACGCGAAACATCCTACGGCTGCTTTGAAACAATGTGTAATGCAGCGGCGGTGACAATGTTTTCGCAGTGCCTGGAGCAGTTTGAGGAGATGTGATGGCCGAATGAAATCATTGGCAAACTCTACCTAATTATCTTTTAGTCCTGTGTCTGGAGGTCAACGTAAATGACAGCCACAAATCCAGAGGCGCGACATGTGCAGGGTTTCGGTACAGTGGCTGTAGTTTCGGTTTCGTCTTTCTTTTCGCTCAGGATGACTTTAAAGTGAGCGACGCGACTGTGGCTCGAGCGATACATGGAAAGAGAAGAAGAAGAAAGGGGGACGCGCGAGGGCCGTGAGGAACGCCGGTCGGGCCACCTTTCAATCTGTACTGTAAATAGACGTTTCTTTTTATTTCTCTCTCACTGATGGAGTCCTTTCAGTCATTTTTTTAGACCATCAACATCCGCACACCATCGGCGTTCCCAGTCATCGGGTCCCTGACGCAATCCTAGGAAGAAAACGAACCTTCACTCTGTGCGAATAGTGGATTTTGAGTTCAAAGCGAATAGTGGTTTTGGCCAAATATTTTCGATTTGAATATCAAATAGTTTTTCCACGCCTTTCACTACCGTTGCATCATGTTTAGATGAAATCCCAGCTAAACTCGTGAAGATTGTTCCACTTGTTCATGTATAATGTAAGTTTACCCTATCTATGTATATTTATGAACTGTGACCTCAGAAGGTCTGATGTCTTGGGATGGCAAGTAAACGACAAATTTGTCATAAAGAGAATCCTATAGAGATGGCCAACTATGCCCAATCGAGGGAATTTACGAATCTTGCTATATAAAATAGTCTTTCTTTAACCTCGAGTTAAAAAAGAATGGATTGCGCATGATGAATGCAGGTTGTAAGGGCATTTCTGTCTAACATATACTTGCATAACAGTCAGTTTAATTTTGAAACTTTTGCTGCAATGTAGATACACACATTCAAAAGGTTTCGATTTATTTTCAAATACAGCTGGCACGCATACACTATTCCACTTTGAATGTGTGCTTTTCTTCCAAGCATGCTATTGCAATGTTCACCGATGCAGTCCAGAGAAGCAATGCCCGTGGAGCTCGCTTCTGTGGATATTGCTTATCCGTAGTGCGCCGGTGCTCGGTAAGGACTGCACTCAACGGGGCTAACCCGCCGTAATCAACAGTTCGAAAAATGTGAATAGTGCTGTTCTTATCGAAGCGAATATCGAAGAACATATTATTCAGAACTACTTTTAAAAATTTGGAATATTCTCAGAACCCTATTATTTTTTTACTCGGTAAAGCTGCCGCGAGATGTTCATAACCAAGGTTTGTTTGATTAAATATATGGTCAGTGTACCGGAATCTGTTCCCATCGACCTTCAAGGCTGCTAGCACTGTTTTTTTGGCTCTACTGCTTTATCGAATTACCGCTCAGGGGCGGATTTAGAGGGGGGGTCCGGATGTCCTGACCCCCCCCTTGATTTCTGCATGGGTAAAATTTGGGGCATAAAACGAAGGAGAGGGGGAGGGGGTTCCTAAACATATGGTACGCTGACCAACACCTGACCCCCCCCCTCTGGATATTCCTGCATCCGCCCCTGCCGCTTATGTTGAATTCTTTTGCCATCCCGTTGACTTCGTTATAAAGAGGGATTATTGTACTTAACAAGTCTCGTCGCCTAGGGCTATCTGTGGTATCTCCTGAAATTTACTTATAACCTCGGGGCAGTCAAGTTCGGTGCGACACGTTGTGCCATCTAGCTCAAGACATTTGCAACACCGGGAAGGCCCTTTTGCCAGCCTGCTTGCTCATGGGGCTGTTCACGCATCAATTTGAAGGTGTTGATTCGTGCATTTTTGGTCTTTTATTTTGAACATTGCTGTCAATGTCGCGGAAGATCAAACTTCGAAGCTGCAGGCACTGTTGCTTACCGGACTGTCGCAACCTTGGAAGCTTAGCAGGCGTGTAGCTCCACAGGTTCCCGTCGAGAACGTGGAAAATACAACGCCGTCGGAGATAAATAAATTCCGTAAAATGTGTAACATAGCATTCTGTTCACATTACCTGACTTGAGATGGATTTCTAATTGCAGTATTTCTCTCTATATTTCGAATTAATGCGCTCGAAGCCCGGCATTGTCTTTGGACTCAATGCGATGACCCTAGAGTCAGATCAGTCTTTTAACACTCTCATTGCTCCCTGCTTCAAGGACACATCTTGATCGAACAATGTTTTTAGGACGTTTGATCGTAGTTACTGAAAATCAAAGTGAGCTTTTTCTCCGCTTCTCCGGTCGTGGAGCGGACTGTTGTTTGTGCCTTTAGCGTGTTCGCGCAGCTGCCCAAGATGGTAGCTCTATTTGGACCCGTGTCTACGTGGTTCTAACTTCATCCCCGCTGCGAGCAAACACTCTACTCGAGAAATAAAAAAAAATATATACTTACCCCACGAGTAAAGGTTACCCATGTGGCGTTTATTTGTGTTCTATGTAAAAGAGAACAGCATATTCAAGTGACGAGATTGAGTATCAGCTTGCGACGAGTAACTGCATGCGACACCGTCCAAACTACTGCCAGCTTGCACGAAAGACACATTCCTCGGACAGCATAATCTTCTTCAACACGACGATGAGGGGACTGGAAACAAGCTGATCCCAGAAGTGAGGTCAGCTATTCATGCGGGAAACGATTACTTGGAAAAGAAAAGGCAGGGTGGGTGAGGGGGAAGGTGAGGGAAGGAGGAGGAAGCGCTTTTGGTTCCACTTTTGTAGAGGAGGGGATTTGACAAAGTCTTTGCTTTTGTAAATTTGAGGTGCGCGCAAACAATGTACAGTGTAGACCGCATATAACTTATGTCGCGGGAGTCGCGAAAATCCGCACTATAAGCGGTACCGCGTTATAACCGAAACATCAATTTTTCAGGCCAAAATACATGCCATGTGACAACTTACTTTTGTAAAAGAATTTATTTTATGTTAGATGAAAAATAAAGCTTAGTTTGAGGAAAGTCTTTATTTCACCAGACTAGTACACTTCTCTCTCAAGTGTGTCACACATTTTGAAAGAAATGAGCGGCTTTTGCCTGGCGCAGCCTCTTAGCGGCGTCGCGGGTTGCGGTGGTTGCGGACGGATGTTGCGAGCGTTCAGGATTGCTAACCCTAATCACTTTTCTCCGGAGATGAAAACGCGTGAAAATTCGGATCCTTCATACGGTACGCGCCAGTAATACCTTGAACTTGAGCACACGCATGAAATGCGCCAAATAAGAAATCCGGGCGATGTTCGAGGACACAAATGCTTAGAAATCACCACTGTAGTCGAAGTAAACAAACACGACGACACGGGCGTTTCTGCCGTCTTGAGAGCGCCGCCACGACATCGCCGCTCGAGTAGGTGGATCTTCCCTTCCAGTACGTGCTTGGTTATCATAGCGACACACAACGAAAATTCACAGTCAAGGATAGCGCTTTTACGCGGAACGATGAGATGAACGCCGTCTACGACGACGATCACAACGTTGATCACAACCGACGCCATGTTCGCGGAAAGAAGCAGCCGGCCCGCGACGGGCTCTTCTTCTTCTAAGCGTTGTGAAAGATGGGGGGGGGGGGGGGGGGGGGGGGGGGGGGGGGGGGGGGGGAGGGGCATGCAACGCGCGCGAACACTTCTCCTCGACCTGCTATTGGTCTGTCGTTGCGGTTGTTGGTTTCCAACGCAGCGGAGGGACGCACGCACGTGAACGACACGTGCGTGCGTCCCTCCGTCGCTAGGGCAACTGAAGCCTCTCTCTTCGCTTCTCCCGCTTCTTCGAGCACCCTCTTTGCCCCGCGAGTGCCGCT